AGTTGGACTACATGGCTTTTTAAGTCCCTGCTACCCTGAGTAACTGTGATTTCTGTCAACTCTTTTAATTGCTTTAGACAAAGAAGTAGACATATATAGGCACAAATTTAGAAATTACCAACATGTCCCTGTAATTATATTTTTCATAATACCATATAAATGTGGAAAAATAACAGTTCTCTTTATTCTTCCATGTCAATTGGACCATTTAGAAAAAAATCCTTGACTATGAGATGAAAAATGCTATATCAAAAACCTGACTGCAAAGTAATTCAGTTTGAATGACTGAGACTGCATTTTCATACAAAAGTTTGTGATTGTCATAAGTAAGAAATCAATTTCTTTTCAGTGTATTATTTCAGTGCCTTATTTGAAAATCATGCACTTTGCCAGCACAGTACTAATCACTAGTTAAAGGTTACTCCAACCAGTTACTGTGAAATACGAAAGAGGTAATGAACTGCACCTGGGTCAGGGCAACGCCAAGCACAAATACAGGCTGGGTGGAGAATGGATCATGAGCAACCCTGAGGAGGACTGGGGGCTGCTGATGGACAAGAAGCTCAGCATGAGCCAGCAATGTGCACTTGCAGCCCAGAAGGCAAATAACCATATCCTGGGCTGCATCAAGAGGTGATTCTGCCCCTCTACTCTGCTCTTGTGAGACCCCACCCAGAGTACTGCATCCAGTTCTGGAACCCTCAACATAAGAAGGACATGGTCCTACTGGAGTGGAGGGCCACGAGGATAATCAGGGAGCTGGAGCACCTCTCCTGTGAGGACAGGCTGAGAGAGTTAGGGTTGTTCAGCCTGGAGAAGGCTCTGAGGAGGCCTTATAGTGGCCTTCCAGTACCTGAAGGGGCCTACAAGAAAGCTGGGGAGGGACTTTTTATAAGGGCAGGTAGTGATAGAACAAGGGGTAATGGCTTTAAACTGTAAGAGGGTAGGTTTAGAGTAGATATTAGGAAGAAATTATTTCCTGTGAGTGTGGTGAGACACTGGAACAGGTTGCCCAAGGAACTTGTGGATGCCCCCTCCCTGGAAGTGTTTAAGGCCAGGCTGGATGAGGCTTTGAGCAACCTGGTCTAGTGGAAGGTGTCCCTGCTGATGGCAGGGGGGTTGGAACTAGATGATCTTTAAGGTTCCTTCTAATCCATACCATTCTATGAACTGTGTGGTTTTTAAATCTCTTTTAGCTAAAAAGAAGAAGAAGCCAAAGCTCTTAAACAAGTTTGATAAGACCATTAAAGCTGAACTAGATGCTGCAGAAAAACTACGTAAAAAAGTAAGTTTTTAATGTTTTGCTCAGGACTGTAGAGAGTGGACAAAAAAGAATAAAATAAAAAAATAACTTAGAAAAGGGAGAATTACTTTTAGATTACTTTCTGTGAAGTCAAAATTTAAAATGAACTATTCAGTGCATGTTTGTCCTTAAATAGTTTATCTTAGGATAGTTTACCTTAAATTTTTTAAAGTCATAAGTGTATGTTTTTTCATGTTTGTTTGCTCACCTTTAACCTTGAAAATATTGAGCTTAACTGTGGAATTCCTATCATCAAAAAACTGCTTACATTTATCACATGGAACAAGGTTAGTTCTGTCCTATTACTGTTGTCCATTTCAGTACTGAAGTCAACTGTTACCAGTGAACTTAAATAATATAAGTGTGTTAATATGGATCTCTCAGGAAGTGTTCACGTGCTTCGGGAGCACTATGCGCAAATCTTTGCAGTAGACATTGTTTCTGTTGGGATTCTGCCTGTGTCCTGGAAGTGCATCCTGTACAGCTGCTTAGAGCATGAAGCAGGTTTTCCTGCTTCTCACCAGTGGCAGCAAGACCTTAAAGTCAATCAGTCAATTTTGACAGGTCTGAATTTAATAACTTAACTATGAAAAACAAGCAAACAAAAAACCCCAAACAATAAACAAAAAGTCTCCAGTCATCTTCTCTGATCACTTCCGATTTTATTATTTTATTTGAGTGTTTCAGAAAACAAGACCTTTGCAGATATGTCCCTTTTCTGGATGTGAGATTAAATAGTGAAGCAAGGCTATGTGACTGTTAGAAATGAGAGACCTTAAGTCTTTTGGATGTGAGCCTTGTAAAACTCTGATACACCTCACAGACAGTCCCAGCCCATGGAGAACAACTGCTGGTCTTTGTTGCATCCTGGATTTGAGATGGCTAAGCAATGTGATACACTGTTTTCAGTACAGTACAATAAAAACCTGCAGCTGTAGGATTATTCCTGATTTTCAGAAGATTGACTGTGCAGTTTTAGCTTTACATTGCCATCTATGCAGCCACAGATTTCCTGTAGGTCTGTGATGGGGCTGAAGGGCTACTACATAGAGCACGCTAACCTCAGGTTGCCCCTGCTGCTGCTTGTCACTAGGAGGCATGTTTATGTTCTAGAATACAAAAATAAAAAGCATTTTCATGCTTCTTGTTATTTAAACAATTGGTTGATCGGAGGAAAGTATAACAAACTTTTTGAGCCTTTAGGATCAGTTAGCTGACTCTTTTTCTGCCTGTGTCACTTGGTGAGTTGCAGACAATCATGTTTGTCTTATAGGAAACAGGGTAAATTTAGTAACAAATCAGACATATGTAATATTTGAAGAGAGCAAGACATTTGTGTGTAATAGTTCACTCATATTTATAAAACTGTAAGAATTGGAAGTGGCAGCAAAATCTGATGCCAGATTTTGCTGAGCAGTGCTTAGCTCCTATTTAACAGTGCAGCTGGTTCGTCTCAACTTCCATCCTTACTTGCTAGTCAGCATTCATCATGAGAATACCATAGTTACATTTGGACTTGGTATGTGATAGGGAAGAGACACGGAGCACGTGTGAGGTGTCCTGAGGGACATCATTATGCAAAACATTTGGAGAAAACAGCCATGTAGCCTATGGATGAGTCTACACTGTTTCCCCTAGAAGAACCAGAGTTCATGGTTCTGTTCATCATGTGAGGTATGCAGAGAGGAAATGTCCACGTATGTCTAGAACTTCCTTTCTGTTCTGTGTTACATTCAGCTTGGATTTTATTGTTAGCAATAGAATCTTTGCTTTTTTATATAGACAGGGTATTGTCATCTCAACATTTTTTCCAACCAACAAATGGAAAGTAAGTAAAATAAAAACAAAGCTATTCATTTTAAATTGGATAGTATTGTTTCATAAATAATGACAACTAATTTATCTTAATAAGCAGGCAATCCCAACAAAAATATGAATGAAAACTGTTGATTCAGTCTGCTTTTTTTTTTAATTTGAGAAACTAATGTGTAAATAGGTCATGCATCTTTCAGCATTTTTATTAGATAGAGTTTCTGATAAATACTTCTACTTTCCAGGGAAAAGTTGAAGAAGCTCTAAGGGCCTTTGAAGAATTAGTGAATCAATATCCACAGAGTCCTCGAGCAAGATATGGGAAAGCACAGGTACTAAAAAAAAAAAAGCCATAAATGTTAAAAAAGAAAATAAACCTTTTTTAACAATAGAGTTCTAAACCCCAGTAAGACTTATTTTATGGACATTTCCTAAGGAAAAAAAGAATTATGTTATCTGTCATATGGTATCTGTTTCAGTCCTCTAGCCTTCCCCAATTACTTTGGGAGCTTTTGACATAAAAATAAGATACATCCTGTAGACCTCATGAAAACTGTCACATGAATGATAAGAGATAACTCCCAGTGCAGGAACATCAGGCAGAACTTAGATGTTACCTACTGTTTGCTGCAGCTGGTAAATCAACACGTCAGTCAGCTCTAGGCTAAATGCTGCTATTTGCATAGTGGGAATAGGGAAGGGGATTGTGGGTTTTTTATAGGGAGAGTGTTAAAGGATAAAGAACACAAATTCTTAGGCAAGGAGGCTTAATTAACATTTTCTTGTGGAGCAAGTTCTGTTGCAGGTGTTCCTCTCAAAAAAACAAACAAAAAAAACCAAACCAGAAAGCACTGGAAAATAAGCTCTGCATTGATAATACTTTTGAGCTCTGTTGGGATGTCTCAAAAGAGAATAATATTTATATTCTCATAAATAGTAGGATAATCCCACTGTACTAGGTTGTCCTGGTTTTTAGATGGAACAGAGCTGGGTTTCTTTTTAGTAGCTAGAGTAGTGCTGCGCTTTTTGTTATTTTCCGTATTTTGTTACTGTTATTATTATGACTACTATTTAATATTAGTATTATTTTAAGTTTTCTTTTATTTTAATTATTAAATTGTTCTTATCTCACCCTACGAGTCTCCTTACCCTTGCCCCCCAGTCCTTCCCCCTCCCCAGGGGATAGGGGAGAAGTGGGTGAACGGCTGTGTTGGCTGCTAATGAAGGGCTAGCCCAGTGAAACTATCACATAGGTGTAATAAAAGGCTACTTGAACTCCTGTTAGTCAAGATGAGCAAAGTGAAACCCTCACCGTAGAAGGGAATTGTGCTGTTATACAATTAATGAAGCACTTGAATTGGAGTCACAAACAGTTTTCACTTGGTTAATAATAGTTACACTAAAACTAAAGCCAGAATTATCCAAAAACTATTACACAAGCATTTGACACACAGCAGATCAAATACTTTAGTGCTCTCTGTGAGAGTCAGTCTGCTGAACTATTTGCCCACTTAGAGTAGGAGACCACTGTGGTTCATATATGAGATGGACTTAACTCTGTTAACTTATGCTTTTAATATTTAAAATTTTTATGAATCTACTCATTATATGTAAGAGAATATGCTTCCTGCCTCCTCATTAACTCACTGCTTTTAGGGAGGAGGGCAGATCATTGAAGCCAGCTGTGAAACTTATTGTCACTCAGAATTCCCCTCAGTGTCACAACTTCATTTGTCCCTTTACAACAATTTGTAGTCACAACCTACTATTTCAGTAATGCTTGAAAGGTTCTACAGACCAAGATCTGAAGTCGTAATTAGTATACACTTTCTGGGAATGCGTAAAAGCAACTATCAATTCATTTTGATTTTCAGTAGCCTTTGTAGACTCATACAAGTTTTATTAACATGTCCAATGACAATTTATTGACTCCAGTATGTGTAAGCTGAAGCTGTTTGAAGGAATGGGAAAATCATGGGCTTCACTGACAGATGGATTATTCTTAGGATTTTGCATAGCAACACTGTATTTCTTTTCAATGGGTATTTGTACCAACACAACGCATTCAAATTTGCTGTCTCTTGTCATTAACTGAAGGTAAAACTACAAAGAAGGGAAAGGGTAAAGGACAGGAATTCACCATAAGAGTGTACTTCTCCATTTCTGTGAAGGATGCACCAGCATTACATGCTGATTTTGTAGATTAAATTTCTAATAAGACACGAGGATTCATTTTTCTGGATCTTTTAATACTTTTAAAAGGCAATTGTTTTCTCCAAAATTCTGCAAAAGGTTTCATAATTAGAAGTGATTTTCAGAAATCTGAGCTATTCCTGATTTGATTTCTGGAGCTACACTTAGACCAGATGAAAAAATGTACAGAAATTGTTAAAACCTTTAAGGCTGAAAAGAAGAATAGATAGATCTTAAACCTCCTTATATGGTTCATAGCATCTAGACTGGTGAGTTTATGCAGATTTTATGTGGACTATTTTTACTTGTTGCTTATGTATCTTTTACTATCCTTTACCCTGCAATTCCTTAAAAAAAAAGGAAGAGTAAATTTCATAGTGAATGTACATCAGAAAAATAAATAATTTCTTCAAACTGATTTCTGAAGTTATCTCTGAAACCAGCTGATCAACTCTTTGACACTTTGAGTTAACCATATTGTTTGATTTTTCCCATATTCAGTTTCGAAGTAGCCCAAAAAAAGTAAAGGACAGAAGTGCAAAAAGATCCCAGATATTAACTACTTACTGCAGCATATGCAGTTAGCACAGTTGAAGCTGTTTCCATTAATGTGTGTGTTTGATACAACAGTGAATTTAGATAGACCAGTAAGAGCTTCTGCACCTGCAATGCTTGTGATGTACCTACACCTTCCTCTACTAATTGACTTAAGAAGAACGCAATCCAATAAAAATAGATGTATTAAGGAAGAATGCATTAAACACGTGAAAATGCATGTATTTGTATAAACAATTCAAAGTAATACTTCTGAAATTCAGCATATGAGATATAGTCTTATTTTTTTCAGCTATGGAAACAAACTATGAAAATGCCATACCGCAGGTGAAATCAGTAGTAGTTTCCATTGGTTTCACTGAAGCTGTAATTTCACAGTAGAGATCTCATATATCCTTTGGTCTACTCCTGAAGTTAATGAACAAATTTAAGTTCTGAAAGAGTTGTAGGGTAGATAGTCTATCAACATATGCAAGAGTAAAGTAAATTCCTAATTAATTTTCTAAGAAAGTGTGAAATTTGTGTCAGAACTTATGAAAGAAACATTTGTTGGTGTGTTTTGATCTGTATATTGCTGCCAGTGTGAGGCTTAGTATACAAATAGTCTGTAGGCAACTATTTACATTTTTCCATATGGTTAAAACAAATCATTTATTTTTGAAAGCAGAAATTATTACTTCTACAAATGTTAACAAAAAATCTGTATTAATGTATGTTTTGGGTGCAGATTTTCTCATAGTTGTGCTTTCAGTTTGTGGGAAACAAGAATTGACAGTAATTCTAATCTGCCTTACCATAAGGCACAACCAAAAAAGTTTTCCATTGTTATGCCAAAAATTATATAGATGAAAGATAATTCTAAGATTATTCCCATAGTCTAACAGTTGCACAGTTTGCCTTTTAAGAAAACAAAGTTATTTTTAAGACTAATGGATTATTATGAGTTCTAATAATAGTTTTGTGATTCTTTCTAGTCTGAAGATGACTTAGCTGAGAAAATGAGAAGTAATGAGATGCTGCAAAAAGCCATCAACACCTATGATGAGGTGGTTAGTCTGCCAAATGTCCCTTCAGATCTGATAAAACTGAGTTTGAAACGAGAAGCAGACAGGCAGCAGTTTCTTGGTAAGATTTGAAGATGGTGTAAAAATTGTGGAAGTTGTGTGAGCAAGAATTTCAAAAAGATCACTAAGGACTTAAAAACACCAATTCCATTGAATTTTCAGGAGGAGTTCTGTTCCTAATCTCTTAAATGCTTGTGAAAAATATTTTTTAAATCTTTAATTTTTTTTAGGGATCTAATGTATGTAAATGCTTGTATGATACTAGCACCTGTAGACAACAGTGGACTAGATGCTATGAGAAGCTATGATGAAAGTTGGTAAAAAAAAAATTATTGACAAAGAAGAAAATGTTCTTTTTCTACTGAAGATGAGGGAAATAATGAGGTAATTAATTCTATACATAAAGTAAACATATCCAAAATAAACTTTAGGTAAACATAGAGAAGAATGGAATTAAACTCAGGGATAACACCCAAAAGTTTGCATCTCCATCATCTGATGTATAAGAAGTGCTGATTAGAGTATCAGGCACAGACAATTTTGGTGGACAAAAGAGTTCTGTTCCCATGTGTTGGATTTTAATATCAACTTGTTTTGATCTTGCTGTTCCTCAGCAGGACCTCATCTAGGAAGTTGAGGAATGTACTTAATTTTAAGCGCGTAAAGCATGATTCATTTTGTAATGGAAATATAGTTAAATCAGTTAAGACTAAGTTTATCTGGATGTGTTTACCTAGTTTTGTCAAGCATTTTGACATCTGTGTATGAAAGAGCAACCAAAGCTTAAATATTACCTCTACACTGTGAACAGCTCTCCACTAGAGGCCACCATAACACTGCATGATATCCATTCGCAGTGATGTTCTGAAATATTCCTTGTACAGCTACACTCCCAGTGACACCAAGCAGCTGAATATACTGCTATCTGATCTGCACAATTTTTGGGTTTTGTTTTTGTTTTTTTCCCAGGTTCTGCTTCTTGATCTTTACAGAAAGTGGAACACTTGGCTCTGATTTGTGTTTTCTTAGATGTTGTGTAAACATCTTACTACAGTTACTTATATCTGTAGTTATAATTAAGTCTTGTTCCATCAAATTAGGTCGCATGAGGGGTTCCCTGGTTACTCTACAGAAATTAGTTCAGCTGTTTCCCAGTGATACTTCATTCAAGAATGACCTTGGTGTTGGTTACCTCTTGATAGGAGATAACAGCAATGCCAAGAAAGTATATGAAGAGGTGAGCTTCCATTCCAGACAAGGACAAAAATGATTTGCATTCATATGTTCATTCTAAAGATTGCCTGCTTTTAACTTTTTTAGTTGTTAAACATTTTGCATGTCTGGTTTTGAAGGGTTAATATAGATATAATGCAGTTCTTAATTATCTTATAATTTTAATTCAAATTTCCTGGTAGTCATGCTAAATATTTTTCCTTGTAGACAGAGAAATGCAGATGTTTTTCATATACTTAATAATATTTTGTTTCTTATACCTTCTGGTAGACAGGTTAGGATATATTGACAGCACATACAGATGTAATGCATAGTATAAAAAAAGATATCTGCAAGACGTGGAAAGCAGAAGTAAGCCTGTTTCTTTACAGGTATCCCATCTCTAACTATGTGATAAAGTAGTTCAGTACTCAACACAGCTATTTAACCTTTGTTTTTTCAGTTTTTGTAGGCAACATAAATTCTGTTTTTCTTTCATGATGCTTGTAGTGTGGACAGTTCATTGGATTTATATTGCTGTCTTATATATGATTATCAAGCTGGGGAAGATTACTACTAAGAAGGGCTGCTCTGCTCCTGTGATCTAGAAGCCATGTTAACAACTGGCATCTCTCTGACAGATGTGGAGCTTGACGTCACTGGTAGAGCAATAGGTCGCAGCACGTGATTGGAGATGGTCTTGTTAGTGTTGGCACACTTCTTGCAGTGCTTGTTTAGTACCAGTGTGGTATGGTAACTAGCTGGTTATGTAGACTAAGGATGAGTCAGCATGATTAGTACCACCTCCTGAGAATAAAGGCCCAGTATTCCATCCCCCTCATCTGAGCGTCTGAGGGGATTCTCATCTCGGATTGTTTCTCAAAGAGAAGAAGGACATTTAACCACATGATTGGAAGCAGGAGCTGAACCCTGATAATACAGATTTTTTTCTCAAGCTCCTCTGGTAATCTCAGATGTTGCCAGAGTAATGTTTGCTTTGCTACTTTGGCTACTTTGTAGGTCCTGCCATAAGGCATTTCTGTTGAATAATTTTTGACCTGCTGTGAAAATTTCTCAAGGGAATTGAAAACATCAGCTTTTAAAGATAGAATATATTAACGGAACCTGTTTCTCAACCTGCAAGGAACTTGAAAAAACAAGAACATACTCCTTTTGGGCAAGATTTTCCTTTGCAATTTTTCAGTATTTTGTTGCCAGATTTGTTAGAATTTGTTAGAATTTCTTAATATCAATAATCACAGGACTTTTTATAAATGGAAGAAGGAGAAGGTAATGAATTTGCTGTATAATTACTTTAATAACAAGTTTAATATACTTCAGAAGATTAAGATTCTGTTGTGATAAAGAACAGATATGCAAAATAAGAGCTGGTCTGCTTTTAATATATTGTTTTCCCTATTTCCATAGACTTTATCCAGTGTAATTACTCTGTTTTGCAGTTCACTGACCACTGAAATAGAATAGATCATAGTGATGCTCTGTCCTTGTAAAAAAGCAACAAGTAAATACCTTTTAAAAGGAGTTTGATTTTTTTCTTTTTAAAAATCATGAAGGTTTTGTCCATATTCTGGCTACTCCTCAGGCTGAATTCCAACACAGTAATGTAATATTTTTCTTTGTTGTAATTCTGGATAAATTTACATGAAGAATTTTAAGAAAGGAAACCTAGCCAAAGAAACAGGGAGAAGCTCATGTGTACCTGCTTTTATTCTTGGTTATACTGAAGGCTTCTAGCATTATTTTGGGCAGATTGCTTAGGGGCCATATGGTCTGCTCTTGAGTGCTTTGCTCAGCTGTTGCAATGCATATTTAGAAAGTGATAGGCATATGGTTTGGAGCTCCTACCATAGGTTCTCAGGCTCTGTACATAGTCAATAAAGAGAAGGACAAATGTGAAGAGTGGTTCTGGGGGGTTCCAGGAGACATCTTCCTCTTGCCATGATTTTTGAAAAACCTGGGAAGCTTCTGCAGCATTATTAAATCCTTCTCACCAGTGGATGACGAATTACATGTTTGAGAGAAAAACGTATGAGAGCACAGACAAGAGCATGAACTCAGTGCTGCACAGTAGATACCTCCAGTATTTATGAATCCTAGGTTCTGGTTCACACTTGTAAGGATGTTCATACATTTTGTTCAAGTGTTCTTTAATGCAGAAATCATGGACATCTAGGAAGAGAGAGCTCAGGACGCATCCTCAAGAGAACTTACCCCTTATTTGACTAAAAGCTCAGCTTTTTGCTGTTTTCCCTCTGGTCCTATTCTTTTCTTCGTGGTTGTCTAGCTTCTTGTGTATGCGGTTCTTGTTTCTGCTCCTCAGACAAGTTCCCAAGTAGTTCTTCTATGCAGGAGAATCTAGACTCCATATTTCCCATTCCCTGGGAATCTGCTAGGATCTTGGGCAAAAGGTACCAGTGTTCTCCCTTGCTTCCTGCTATTACATTTTGATCTTAACTCAGTGTTACCAGTTTGTGTTAAGTATGGGCTGAGCACGTGCAACCAGCTGGACCCTTCATGGGCACTGTCCCCTGCCTTGGGGTTACAGTATATACTGTTTCAGACAAGACTAACTCTAGCTGGCATCATCTCCAAGTAGATGTCCAAGGAATCCTAGTGAATTAAAACTTCCTGTTTTACATTTAGTAGCCAGTTACTTTTTTTTCTCTTCAATTCTTGGGTTTTGGGGCTTTTTTTGTATAACCAGATTTTAAAATTTGGAACCAATCAAAATTGTTCTAAAATTATTTTCCCAAAATTTGTTGTGTCTTAGCAGCTGTTGAAGTATTATAGTCACGTTTTTATTTCAAAAGTCTTAAATACAATATGTTCCTTCTTTTAGCTACAGAAGCGATATGTATAAACATTGAACTTCAGACCAAAAAGGGTTTTGTACATACAGCTGTAGTGCAGTTTAGTTTAACTGATACAAAATACACTTTTCTATTACGTGTTTACCAGACTATGTACTTAACCACAAATGGAAAATGGCATCCAATTGGAGAGGAGTTCAGTTTTGCCTAATATTAAAGTATTTTCTTTTGAACATTACACTTTGGAACATAGAAACATAACATTAAAAGTAGTCCTAGTAGAATTCAGAGCTATTTACTTTAAAAGAAAACATAATGTTAAAAGAAGTCCTAGTAGAATTTAGAGCTATTTTTGTTTTTAATGGATTATAATAAAATACAGTGGAAGAGAACTTTATAAGACCAGTTACTCTGCTAATAGTACTTTTTCTGCCTGCCATGCCAAGGCATGTCTGCATGGCTCAGTGCAGCATTATACTGACACGCACAAGCCAGCTCTGATTGAGCTTTCTCAGGTACCAAAAGCAGAATATCCACATTACCGCAGTACTCTGCCCTGGCTAATTAGCCATTGATAGCCCCAGAGGTTAATTTCTTTATTCATCATTAATATTTAATGGGCTATGAGCAGTTTAGTAAAACTTATTTCTAAACATAATTAATATTGCATGCAGCAACAGCAACAGAGTAATACAATTTACATTAAATACTTCCAGTGCAATTTCTGCTGATTGTATCCCTTCGCTTCTTTTTAGGGGCTCTGAATGTAGATCGTGCCGTAATACAACTCGGCATAGTTTAAATGAACTGTAATACAGAAAATTCTGTTCTGTCTTAATTAATCAGATAGCTTTATCCTGTCGTTAAAGGAAACCTAACAAAATTATATGGCTAATAAATATTTCTGTCTGTCATTTTATTTTACCATGCAGGTACAGATTTTCAGATCAAAATGGTTATACACAGAATACTGTAGCCAAAAGGCATAAGATGCGTAAGGTGGTAGCATATTCTTATCCTAGGGGTTAAGCTCATCCTTACTATGAATTGTCAGGTTCACTTTTTGCTAATAATGCGTCATATTATGGACTTCAGATAGATTCTCAAATTGCTTGTTCCTTCATAGTGGCTCTTTTCTCCAAAAAGAAGTAAAACTGCTGTTTTTAACTCATAATGTTTTAGACCCACATTGTGTTGATTCTGGTTTTGTTTGAATGTAGTTTGTATGTAATAAGGTTTAGGAAAGCAGTGAAATTGACCCAGAGATTTTATTATGGTTTTGCTTGTAATTATTTTGATGGTAAAATTAGGTTAGAGGGTGACTGGAAAAGGCAGAGGGAAATGGCTACAAGGTATGCAGACATTTTATCCATGGCATAGGTTTAGTAGCTTCAAAAATAGATTTAGGCGAGATAATTGCTCATCTGTCTGTTGTTTTGTAATTAGTAGTTGTGCTAGATGTTCAGCTGGTATCAGGCTCTCTAATTCCACTGACTGCCAGGCCCTTGTGATGATCCTCACAGACTTAGGATCTGTCCTGGTAAGACCATCCACCCTTATTTTAAGGGTGTAACAACAGATTAACTTGACCATGTAATTGATATCGCATAGAGCTACAAATGATACTGAACATATACATCATAGGAAACCTGGAGCTGGAAAGTAGATCAGGACATTCTTTAGTTTCCTCCTTGGCGGAGGCAGAGCAAATGCACTTGATTTATCTGGGTAATGTTGGGGGTATATGTTTCAGAACTCAGGCTAGCAAGCTTCACGTCTCTTTCTCTGAAACGCTCCCCCGTACACAGATCCATTCCTACAGCTGTCCATGTACACACAAATCTTTCTCTTGCACAGTCCCCATGAAATATCCATCTCTGGATATTTGCTTGTGGGTTTTCCTTTCCTGCAAAATTAAGTCAGGTTATAATTCAGACATTCTTGTTCTTTTAGTGTAATTCAGCACGCTAAATCTTGGTCAAAGCATGCAGCACACAACTATACAAGAATAATTTATCCATCACTTTCTAGTGTGATGGATAAATCACTTCTAGTAACATTGAATTGTTACTGCATTAGGCCTTACATTACCATCTGATGGCTTTTGCTTGGCCAAGCAAGTGTGAGCTCTTCCAGAGAGTGCTCCAGTTCATCATAGTGCTGAGAATGCCCTTTGCATTCCCAGGGTCTGCACAGTCCCGTTATGTGATGCAGGCATTATTTTACAACATTTCTCGTTTGTACTCACTGTACTTCACAGCAGTCTGTTTTCTCTTGCCAAGACTAGTTTGCCACCAGTATAAACCTATCTAACTTTAAACTATTTCAGGTATATTTCTACACTGTGCTTCCCATGACTGTGCTGTAGACTTGTTCAAAAGCAGCTGTTTTCTTTTAGATTAGGCAAACCTGGGATATATAATTTAAGTGGTGTTAATTCTGTAATGTAGCATGCTGTAACTCATGAGAGAGGGTGGAGAAAGACAGACAATAAAAATATAATGCAATTCAAAGATTCCAGTTGGAATAATTTTTCTTTTACGACTTCAAAGTTTGGCTTGTAATAGATTTTTCTGGAGAAGCACAAAAGTGAATGGGGAAAACAAAGTACAACCAAGCCAAGAATTTATCTGAGAGTCGGCAATGGAAGATAATGTTGCTGCATCACTAAATAGTAATATATGCACAGGTTTTATAATTTACATAGATCCATACGTGAATATTTAATTCAGTTTTTCTCAAACAGGTTCTAAGCCTGGCTCCAAATGATGGTTTTGCCAAAGTACATTATGGCTTCATCCTGAAGGCAGAAAACAAGATAGCAGAGAGCATACCCTATCTAAAGGTATTTTTCTTTTCTCACCTACAGTAAATATTTTACCTGTAAAAAATAAAATTGAAATGTATAGAACATGTCAAGATTTTATACCTTTTAGATATAGTAATCACAAATCACAGTTTAAGCTATGTGTTGGAGTTATATTGCTATATCACTGCCTATGAACTGGAACAAGCTTTGCACTTTGAGACTCATCAATTTGTAAACATCAAGTATGTGTTTTAGTAGTCATTAACCCTAAGTACAAAACTGTGAGTCTCAAATTGTTTTGAGTTTGGCAGTATGCTGCAAACTTGAGGTTCTTGGGAAAATCCAGAGAGGGCTTGCATGTACTTCTTAGTGTTTGGGAAGAAATACCACAAACCAAAACTTTAATCCAGCTTTCTAAAATGCTTGTGTATATGTATATAGGGTCAGGGAAAAGTGTCCATCTCTGAATACACCTCTGCCTTAGAGACACCATGGCATTTGGAAAACTGGTAACATTTCTCAGTGTCTTTTTACTGAAATGCTGTATTCATTCAGCCTAAATTCCAGATTACCATGGTGGTTATATTTTATAGCCAATTTATAGCCTCTCTCTTGCATAGAATTGTCAGCCTGTTTAAAGCCATCAAATTAACTCTTTTAGAAGTCCTGTTGAAGTTTCTCTTATACTTTTTTTTTTTTTTTTTTTTTTTTTTAAGAAAGGAAGGACTAGAGTCTGGTGACCCTGGCACAAATGATGGACGCTTTTATTTTCACCTGGGTGATGCCTTGCAGAGAATGGGAGACAAAGAGGTACGTGTTTAATGTGTTTTTGCTTTAACGTCTAAACCTCTGATGAACCACAGAATCCAGAAAACTTTTAAGCACAGGCTCAATGTTGAAAACATGAGTACTCCTATTGCAAGAACAATCCAGCATGTGTGTGTGGATGTAAAGATGCACAACAGCAAAAAATCTGCCATTGGTATGATAATACAATCCCTTACTTTAAAACTAACCTAAACTTTTGAAGCTTGCATGTAGCAGTTTGAACTGAGGGACCAAACATTTTTCAAAAATTCAGTGAAGGTGCTCCTACCACTTACAACAAAGATTTTAACCAGAGTTAAAAAACCTGTATATCACTGTATAGAAGTTCTCTCATAGCCCTGATATGACAGTGTTTTGTAAACTTCCTTTCTTTCCCAAAGTGCACCAATGAGTATGTGGTAAAAGAAGATCTTGAGAGGACTGAATGTGTGGGCTGAGTTATGGTATTTGTTTAATAATTAAAGTAGCAAACAGATCAGAGAAGCAGATATTTGCTCAAAAATCTGTTGCACGCCCAACAAAAGCAAACATATATGACTGAAAGCCGTAAGAGTTTCCAGTTTGTTAATTTAAAACCAAATTTAATGTAAAAGCCAGATTTAAATGTGTGAGCTAGCACTGTTGCCGTGGTAGGGAAACAAAGGGTTTTTGTTGAAGACTGTTACTAGTAATGAACTATACTATGGGCTTGAACTTAAAGCCAAAACAAAACAACAACAACAACAACAAAAAAAAACAAAAAACAAACCCCCTACTCAATTCCTGAATGGGAAATGCGAAAAGAGTAAGAACAAAAAAGCATAGTGGAACTGCTTTTTAATCAGTTGTCTAGTAATAGGTTTGAAATATTGATACCTAAAATACTGTAAAGGATGCTGACCTCTTGAGTATCTTGCCCCAGTTGGTAGGCAGTTCTCCAATATGAACTATAGACAGGTGGACTATAGTGAAGCTTATGTTAGTGATCTTTCTTAAGCCTAGTTCATCAGGCTAATTTTCCTTTTTTATGAATTGTGGAACTTTTGTTACAGTACCTTATACATACATTGAAATGTAACAATGTCTATATTTTTTGAGTTAGATTTCTTTCTGTGAAAGTACAGTAAAATGTTATTCCAATGAAGATTTTGAATGTAAAAATTTATTTATAAACGAGAATTAGTTGACCTCATTCTAAACATAAACACGCATACCTGCGCACACACACAGAGCATCTGCTTGTGTATGTGCTGTCTTTCTGTCTGACTCTGACTGACTCTGTCCTTCCCTCAACAGAAAGCCAAAAAGGAAACCCCTTTACGCTTCTGTGGGATATTCTGGGTTGAACGATTGAGCCCAGAGCATCCCATTACAACGTTTGACTAAAGATACCACACAGATGTAATTAATGTATAGCATCCCAATCTCCAAGATAATTATGTGTTAATATTTTGGACTTAATGGTCAAATATACTGTAGAAAAAGTTTTAATCAATGACAAATGAACATCTTGGCATAGAGGAGACAAATTTATCAGTGGAAAGTCTACTGTTAAGCTAAATTTTTCTCACTGACCTTGCTAGACTTGCTGAACTTCAAGATTTAATCAAGGAAACAGATCAATATTTAAGGAACATGTGAAATTGCTATCACTGAAGGCTTGTTGAAGGTAGATATTAATCTATTGGAGCTAAATTAGGAATTATGAATGTGGCCTTGGTAAGTGTTAGGGAAACAGTGTTGAGTATGCCCTTTCCAACTATAATTTGATAAAATGCTAAATTGACTTTAAAAAAGATAAATTAAAACTGTGGAAGGTATGATAGAACAAAGTGCTGTTCACACAGAATGTATAAACCGACTGCATCTCGATCACTTTCCTGGAAAAGAAGCTATACTGTTGTTACTGTCCTACGTAGTACAGTAGTCATTTAGTCTTTCTGCTGCCAAGATCTACATCCGAAAAGAAAGGTTTCTCATGGAAACTCAGGACTGAAAAGGGTGAGTGAGGCAACCCAACTCTACTCCATGCTGTCAAAGGCAACCTCATAGCACAATTCTTCTAATAGATAAGGATTAACGGTATTATACATCGTGATTATTGTTGATGGATCTTAAAGAGCAGCAACATTCGTATTCATCAGTCAGCGGCTGAAGCAAGTAATTCATCCCCCTTATCATTTGGGCTAACTCCAGACATTGCAAATGAATGCAGGCAGTCAGCATGAATGATCTATTGATATCCAACTGATATTACAACTTACATCTTGGGGAACATATGTTATAAATCATAATGTTTCTATTTCAGAGACCTAACCAAGATAACATCAAAATTTAAAGATATACTGTGTATTACCCAAAGGCAATATATATATATATATATTTTTTTTTTTTTTTTGGACCCATACACAATTTTACAAAGCTTCTCTAGGGGAAAAAAGATGAAAGCTGTTATTCTGTTCATCCACACTGTTTTTCTGTACTTCAGATAAATACTGTAAGGCAAAATTCTATTGTGGCCTTTCCTTCATAATTCAGGAGAGTTATAAAAATCAGAGTATCACATTTTTTTAAAGCCTGAAGAAAATTTACAGGCTATCAAAAAATAATCTATGGTTACAATATACAATTTGAAGACAAAACCACCCAAAGCAGTTTCTTACCTTATATCTGAAATAAAAGATCTCTAAGATGACACCTGGAAATTTTTAGAAATAATCCATTACAAGAAGAATTTCCAATAGCTTTTTGTTTTCTTGACTGACTGACTGCTAAGATTAAGTAAGTCTTAGGAAGTTATACACTGTTGTCATAGCTGATTTGTATCCAAAAAAGTTTTATTTTTCCTTCTGGTTTTCTGGCTTCAAGGTAAACATAAATAATAAGCTGACATGAATTGTTCTCTTAAAGACATGTTTATTTGATTGTATGTTTCACTTTCCATTAGACTCCATACATAAAATGATTCTTCTTTAGCTTTAGAGTTAGTACTGTGTTTTTTGTCTCAGTAAGTCTTTTGTTTTAACCTTTAGGTCAAATATGGGCAGATTAATGGACAACTGTCATATGCCCATGAGTTAGAATAGGAGAAATTACTCTCTTTGAAAAACAAATAACAACTAAAATAGTCATGCAGGGTATATCAGAATGCTACTAGGGACAGTGTTCATCTTGTCCAGATGGTGTGGTTTGACCCCAGCTGGCAAATAATCCTCACATAGCTGCTCGCTCACTCCCCCTCGGTGGTGTGGGAGAGACAGTCAGAGGGGTAAAAGTGAGAAGACTCGTGGGTTGAGATAAAGACAGTTTAATGGGTGAAGCAAAAGCTGTGCACACAAGCAAAGCAAAATGAGGAATTCGTAGGTTACTTCCCATCAGCAGGCAGGTGTTCAGCCATCTCCAGGAAAGCAGGGCTCCATCACACCTAAGGGTTACTTGGGAAGACAAATGTCATCACTCCAAATGTCCTCCCTTCATTCTTCTTCCCCCAGCTTTTATTGCTGAGCATGATGTCATATGGTGTGAAAGCTGGTGTCCCAGCTGTGTCCCCTCCCAACTTCTTGTGCACCCCCAGCCTCCTTGTTGGTGGGGTGGTATGAGAAGCAGAAAACGCCTTGACTCTGTGTGAACACTGCTCAGCAGTAACGAAAACATCTCTGCATTATCAACTGTTTTCAGCACAAATCCAAAACACAGCCCCACACCAGCTACTGTGAAGAAAATTAACTCTGTCCTAGCCAAAACCAGCACACCAGATTTTGCATATTCC